GGTTGAAAATGGCAAAGAGAACAAACCCTTAGACTTTAGCCCTCTTTAGAAATGCATATCCTTCCTATGTAATGGTGGCATTTTTTATTTTTTATTTTTTTGCAGGTTATTTTCTTGTTTTATTTAACAATAAGGTCTTGTTTGATTGTCACATTTTTCATGAAAAATATTACATTCGAGGAAAACGAATTCTACTTTAGCCGTTTTATTGCAACGTGGAAATGGAAACTGAATTTCATGGTACAATCATTTTAAACTGCATTTTCTTTATTTTCATAAAAAAACGAATTCCTATGAGCTTGGTGAGTTTTTATTTTCCAACTAACATAGAATTGAAATTGCTTTCCACATATGCCTATCAAACGGACCCAAAGTATATTCACTGACATTTCCAAGCAAAAGGGGACGAAGACTATCAATTGACAACCCACTTGTTACAAAATTGAAACTTTAATGATTCGTTTATTTATGAAAGCTAGACGTCTCTTACTATATTTCACATTTCTTGCATGTCGTAGTTCTTAAGTGCAATCTTATGGATGCATTTTTCATCTTAGTTCGATTATTTAGAAACTCATAGTTACATTAATAAGAACGATCACACTCTTTAATATATTTTGTACACACACTTTTAAAATTACTCGATTAGCTATGACACTGGTGGATTACTCAAATGTATTTTAAAGTTCTTCCATGGATCATAGTATGGAATCATCTTCATAAGCAATTAAGTACGAATTTGGCCGTTGGATCTTCACCCCTCTTAGGATCATTGGCGGACCCAGGGGGCATGTGCCGCCAACTTTGAATTTTTTTCCTATGTTTTTTTTTTGTTTCAATTTTTGAAATCATTATAAGATGTTAAACAAAACCAAAATATTGCATTATTAATACTATTTCGAAGTGCTCATAGTCTAGTTTTTTATGTCGTTAACGACGTGCGAAACGATCAAACGTGGCATATGTTACGACTTGTCAAAGTGGCGGTTTAAAATTAGTATTTCAAGAATTTCGATAATATGCTAATTTTAAAAATTCTCCGACGATCGTACGGTAGTCGAATCTACAATTCGCTTATAGCATCTCAAAACTCATTTCGAGAACTACATTATAGGCATATCGAATAGTTCAAACAGATATCGAAAATAGTTAAAGATGCGTCAAATGTACGTCTTAAAAAGAGGTGTCTAACTCGCTTTTTTTTAAAAAAAATTAATTATTTCATTAAAATTTTCCAGGCAATTGTTTTTCCATTTAATCCTCACGTGACCACTTTTTCCTCAGAAATGAGGAATTCATTTTCCCAAAGATTTGGTGGTTTTTTATTTTCTTGGCAAGGGGGAAAAACAGTGCTGCCATGGGAATCAGGTCGCTGGCCAAGAAAAAAGGGGTGGATCCTATCAATTCACTGGAAAAACCAGTGGGTCGGGCTCGGATTTACAGCAATTTGAGAGCAAATTACTGGGAGGTTGAGAAGAAGTTGAGGAGGGGATTGAAGTCGTAGTGAAGGTTTGGGAGGGTAGCGACGTCATACGGGTCGTCCATTAATTCTTCATATTCTTTGTTGGTGAAATTCTTTTGTTGTGCGTTGGTGGAAGAGGCGGATGAATGGGTGGAAAAGAGTGGAGTTCGAAGGAGAAGAAAATGGTGCTGGGGCTGGTGCTGGTGGCGGCAGAGGGAAATCCGGTGGAGGGAAATCTGGTGCTGCTGGTGGAGTTAATGGCGGATTTTAGGTCGAATATGGTGGAGGGAAATCTGGTGCTGCTGGTATCAACGCCGGAAGACAGGGCGGCAGTGGTGGAGGAAGGCAGGATTTCGGCAGTGGTGGAGGAAGGCACGATTTCGGCAGTGGTGGGAACGAAGGCAGTGGTGGGAACGAAGGAGAAGGCACGATTTCTGGGAACTCAGGAGATTGGCAGATTGCAGTGAAAAAAAGTGGAAAATTAAAGCCAATCAAACATGAAAGATGAAAATTTTCCACATTTTTCAACTGAAAAATTATACCAATCAAACACACATAATTGATAATTCCCAGTAAAATGATTTCTAAGCAATTCATTTTCCCTGAAATTTATTTTCTTTCCACCCATTTTCCACTCTTGCAATCACCCTAACTTCACGCTTCGTTGCCGAGGGAAAATCAAATCTCTTCTTGTGTAAACTGCATGAGGGCTCTTTTGAACCATGCTTGCAAAGAATGCAACATATTTGCTTAATCTCCACAAATTAATATCTTGCATAAAAACTTGGAGTACAAAAACTTTTCTAAATCGATACTCCGTTTCTTTAAGTCAATCTTGCTCAAAATCCACTGGGAAAACTAACAAGCTTGCAATTTACTGCAACACCCAGATAACGAAACATGGCAAGAACGGAAACATCAAGGAGGCTGAGTCGATTTTCCATCGGATGCCTTTTAAAACTATTGTTTCTTATACTGCGATGCTCTCTGCATATGCTCAGAATGGTCAAATCTCGAAGGCCCGAGATATGTTTGACGAAATGCCCCAACAAAATGTTGCCTCGTGGAACGCGATGATCACAGCTTATATGAGGAATGGAAAAAGATGCAACGGAATTGACGAGGCTTATAGATTGTTTTTGAGAATGCCAGAGAGAAATGCAGTGTCTTATGCTGCGATGATCACAGGGTTTGTTAACGTGGGCAGGTTTGACGAGGCCAAGAGATTGTATAGTGGGATACCTTCGAATAGGAGGGACCCGGTTTGTTCAAATATTCTGCTAAATGGGTATTTGAAAATTGGGAATTTGGAGGACGCACTTCATATTTTTGAAGGAATGGTGGAGAAAGATGTGGTATCTTGGAGCTCAATGGTGGATGGTTATTGTAAGAATGGGAGAGTCAGTGAGGCTAGAGAGCTTTTCGATGTGATGGAAGAGGAAAGAAATGAGGTCACTTGGTGTGCTATGATTAACGGGTATTTGAAAATGGGGTGTTTCAAAGATGGGTTCAATTTATTTCTGCAAATGAGAAGAGGAGGTGAGGTAGGATTTGGACCTACACTGATGACTGCCATATTTGAGGCTTGTGGGAGACATCGGAAGTTTGAAGAAGGTATTCAACTGCATGGCTTGATTTCCCATATGGGATTTGAGTTTGATGTGTTCTTGGGCAATTCTATTATTACAATGTACTCGAGGTTCGGTTGTATGAATGCAGCTAGAAATATGTTTAACACGATGAATACAAAAGATCTTGTTTCCTGGAATTCTCTTATTAATGGTTATGTTCAAGCTGGCGAACTTGAAGAGGCTTATCAGCTCTTTGAGAAGATGGAAGCCAAAGATTTAGTTTCTTGGACGACAATGATCACTGGATTCTCTAATAAAGGTTTAACAAAAAATTGCATTGATTTATTTAACAGGATGCCTGAGAGAGACGATGTTGCTTGGACTGCTCTTATTTCAGGATTTGTGTATAATGGAGACCATGAAGAGGCTATCTATTGGTTCATTCAGATGCTACGGAGTGCAGTCAGACCCAATCCTCTTACTTTAAGTGGTGTGCTTAGTGCCTCAGCTGGTTTGGCAATTTTAAATCATGGTTTGCAAGTGCATACTCATGTTTTTAAAATGAAGATGGAGCTGGATTTGTCTGTCCAAAATGCTCTTGTCTCTATGTATTCCAAGTGTGGAAGTTTAGATGATGCCTATAGGATATTCAAATCCATCAGTGCACCCAACATCGTTTCCTTTAATTCTATGATTACTGGGTTTGCCTATAATGGATATGGAGAAGAGGCAGTTGAGTTATTCAGGCATTTGGAGAATAGAAGATTAGAACCAAACGAAATTACCTTTCTTGGCGTCCTATCTGCTTGTACCCATGTGGGACTTGTGGCAGAAGGATGGAAATACTTCGGTTCTATGAGAGCATTCTACAAAGTTGAACCAGGGCCTGATCATTATGCTTGCATGGTTGATCTCCTTGGTAGAGCTGGCTTTCTTGATGAAGCATTAAATTTGATCAAGTCAATGCCATTTGAACCCCATTCTGGTGTTTGGGGTGCTCTTCTTGGTGCAAGTCGAGCTCACGTGCGTCTTGATATTGCAAAGCTTGCTACTAAACATATTTTAGAACTCGAACCAAATAATGCTGCTACATACGTGGTGTTATCAGATATATATAGTTTTCTAGGGAAGAGGAGAGATGAAGAACAACTCAGATTGGCTAAGAGAACAAAAGGGATAAAAAAGAGTCCAGGTTGTAGTTGGATTACTGTGAAGAACAATGTTAATTTGTTCCTTTCTGGAGATCGTACTCATATAAATTTTGGAGAGATCAAGATCACATTGTCGGCAATTTTTTATGAAATGAAACAGTTTCATTGCATGGACACCGATTGGCTACCACCTTAAGAAACTGTGACTTCTATCGGAATAGATATTTTCAAGATCATTTTTAGTATCATCCTGAGGCATTTTGTGGTTGTTTACTTGGTAGTTTTGTTCAATCGTTTGATTAAACATCTGGAATGTGGTCTTACTCTTCTATGAGAAAAGAACTACTTCGGAGTCTTGCCTTCCATGCGCTTGTATATCTAATTATTGAGGATAAGGCCATTTTACTAACTAAAATGGTACCTTAACTTTGCTCTTTTGATACTGGATGGTGAAAATTATCACTACAGTGGTTGCTAACTGTCTGAATTTTGTGTTGGTCTGGTAATGTTTTACCCTCTTTATTTCCCTGATTTATTGTCTTTCTGTGAACTTGACAATGATTTAAGTCTTAATTGATGGCGCACATGCAGTACCATGTGAACATCTTGAGATCAACAAGCTTGCAAGAATCAAGTATCAGGAATAAGGGTCAAGGACATGACATTCAGGAGGTAAAACGTAATTATAATTTTTGGTTGGTTAAATAATTTAGCACTTTTTTTGTAGTTCAGTCGTATAATCTGGCAAAATTTCGAGTTTCAAAAAAATGGTATGGATTCATTTTTGAGCTTTTGTTTTTGTAGCTCCTTTATGGTGAATAAAGCAAAAGTTTCCCTCTCAGTTCAGTAAATTCCGTACTTTTATTTCTCTAAAGAGTATATACATTCCATTTTACGAAATTGTGTTGTTTGATGTTAAGTGAAACTGGATCTCTTGTGAATGAAGCCTACCAGTGCTGTTATGGGATGATCAAAATACCATTAGAACTCAAGTAGGTGGTTAATTCTTGATCTGGCTTGGTTAACACATGATCCAATTAGTCACTTCCTCATGGTTATCCTGAAAACTTTTTATTATTTATTTTTGCATTTTATCTCCTGTGTTTGCTTAAATCTTGGGGAAGACACTAAGCTTGAAATCCCTGTGGCTCTGGGTGATCGGAAGGAAAGTATGTGGCCTTGGCAGCCAAGGGCAGCTGAAGACTCTAATCTTTCTCCCATTTCCCACCCAACACCAGAAACCATTTCTAGAAGGAAACTCTAGCCCCCAGATTATACTTCGCCACAAGTATGAGCAACCATCTTTACAATCTGCATTCATAAATGCTGTACTTGGATGATATTTGCCTTACAACCAACCACTCGTCTCAATGTCTCCTTAATCAGTAACAAATCTAGGAATGTGGATTTATTGAACAAATGTACAAGACTTATCTTGAGTAATAAGTCTTTGATTTTGTTGATGACTCTTTACTTTTATCAACCTACCTCCTTTCAACAGGATTATTATTGTGAAAAAAGTTGATGTTATTAAAGATTCTTTTTCTTTAAATAAAGCAGGATTGTAAATAACTCTTCAAGCAACAATCATAGGAGTGATGTTCACATTTTCCAAGAGAGAGAAGCCGTTTGAAAATTTTCATTGGACGGATAAATATGTTGTGGCTATAGTTCTTCCTAAACCTTGTATTTGTAGACTTGAAAAAAATTGTATAAGGTCTAATACTTTCAAGAATACACAGTGACAAGGGCATCGCCTGATTCAGTGGGGGAGTGACTTATGTCCCCAAGTCGCAGCAAAACCTTCTAGGCAGTGACTGGAAAAATTAGTGCAGATAGAGCGCTTCGGCGGTACGGAATTGCCTTCAGCTGGCGACGAAGGCTTAAAACATGGGAAAGGTGTGCAGGCACGAAATCCAAAATCTTCCAGCCCCAAACCACTCTTTTTGAAGGCTAAAAGAAAGTTGGTTTCTGATTTAGGGTTCAGCAAGGGCAATTTTGTAATAGTGTTGAACATAATTATTGCAAAAGACGAGAAGTGCATGCAGGGATCAGCAATATTTAAATCTGGCCATTGGATCAAATTAATCCTGACCCTTCATTTCAATTCCTGTGTACAATTTTGGCTATAAATACATGTATGGTTTCATTTGTAAAATCATAAAGTGAATTAAGGTTCATGTTGAGTGATTGTAAAATGGTTTTCCTTTCTCATCTCATTAATAAAAGAGGCAGATTCTTCCTAAACTTGGCTGTTTGTCCTTCTTGATCTTGTTTCCTATTTTAAGTATCTTTCTCTATGTTGCAGTAATTTAACCTCAAAGGTTAAATTTCATGGTGCATTTCAAGCTGACTTAGCATATCCTTGGAGGTGTAGGATTATCAAAATGTTAAGGCCGCATGGTCTAGTTGTTCGCGGAGAATGTTGTTCTTATTTCGATTTGTGAAAGAAGTTCGGTTACTTCCGTGGAAAGGCTTAAGGCCAAGACTGGTGGGGCTGATTGCATTCCTTTAGTGGCCAATAAACTAAAACATGCAATTTATTAGTTGTCCTTTAATTCTGCTATTTATATTTGGTTTTATAGTTTATTGATCAACGGATACAATTTTATCATTTTTTATAGTGGATTATTTATCTGTGGATGGGAGCTCGTAGATGTTTCACTAAAGGATTTACTATGTTATATCGTGTGTATAGTTGGTTTTAATGTTTAAAATTAGCAACTGATTTTTTGTTCAAATTGTACCAAACCGACCCGACTCGGTTTGGTTGGTTTTTCAATTTTTTTGCCACTCACTGCCCGTATCATCAGGTTTTTTTTTTTTTTTAATCAAAATTTACTAAAATATAATTCACAGAAAAACTAAACAAGGGCTAAGAGCTGGTCGAGAGGCCGCTCATTGCACTCATTGTGATCTTATATTGTTCTTTAGCTATAAGCTATCTTCATGCATGTCACACTTGTCCTTTTGTCTATTAGGGCAGGTTAATTTTTTGTGATGTACAGAGGTCATGCTGATCCTTCCTCATAATTTCTTGATGAATTTCACAATGAATTAAGTCATATTCATACAAGCATTCCCTAAGATGAACTAGTTCGTGGTATAATGTCCCATATGTTCATACGATACACTTAAAAATACTAGTAATTTCTTTTATGAATAATTAACAAAGTCGGAAGAGATAGAAGAATGGGGTAATGTAGACCCCCCACGCCATCACGTATGTCACCATGAGCATCAAGAATGAAGAATATAACATTTAAGTTAATTTTCCTAGAACATGAGAGAAGATCGAATGGGGAGAATTTCCGAATTCTTTATAATTAAATAAAAAACAACTAGAAAGGATCAAGGTATAAAGTGTTTAAATAGGAAAACCTAACTACCTAGATAGGTAGAAATCCTTAACTTGCAAAAGAGATAATTGCTCCGATTTATTTGGGGCATGTTTCAAATAGCTATTGCTTCTGGTCTGCTTTTGCTTTTGTTTCTGCTTCTGGGTAGTTATTAGTAAAGAAATTTTCATTCAAAATATCTCTTGGATGGATCGTAAAGTGATATAAATTATATTCGAAAATAAGAAACAAATAAAAAAAATGAATCAACTATTAAATGCTTCACCACTCCAACATTGCCCTCATCCTTGTGTCCACCACCCCTAGTGAAATAAATTATATTCGAAAATAAGAAACAATAAAAAAATTGAACCAACTATCAAATGCTTCACTACTCCAACATTGCCCCCATCGTTGTGTCCACCACTAGTGCTAACAGTTTTTTCGACCTTTCCACCATCATTTGTTACACTGTTTTCAGGATTTACAGTGCTAACAGTTTTTTCGACCTTTCCACCATCATTTGTTACACTGCTTTCGGGATTTACATGTTTCTTGATATCACGGCGAGCCTTTTCGGTCATTCCACCATCATTTGTTACACTGCTTCCAGGGTTTACACGTTTCTTGATATCACATTGAGTCTTTTTGATCATTCCATCATCATTTGTTACATTGCCTTCGGGATTTACTTGTTTCTTGACATCATGGCGCATACCATCATCATTTGTTACATTGCCTTTGGGATTAGCTCGTTTCTTGACATCATGGCGCATTGGTGAAGATGATCGAGATTTTGTAGTCATTTCGACCGCAGGAGGCTTTCTTCCACTGATGTTCTTCTTGCTGCCCTTGTTCCCAAAACAACTTAAAATTCCTGCAGCAACATAGCTATAAACAATTAGGACACAATAGAAAACTTACCTTCAAGCTTTATCTTATTCTAATTGTTTATAAGGCAATATATATCTTATTCTTATTTGACTTATGAAATACAAACTGAAAGTACTCAAATCAATCATCAAGCAAGTAAATAACGTTACCTACTCTCGGAGAGACATTTGGACGAGGCGTAGTTGTTACTATTTGTGATTTCCGTGTGTCGCACTAAGAGAAACTAAAATAAAAAATAAATTGAATTTTGATACTTACCTCCACCCATAATTGCTCAAGTTCCTTTTCAAAGTAAGTCTTCCAACAAACGTTCTACTTAAAAATCTGCAAAATTATACATCAAATCAAACTCCAATAATTGGTAGCTAGGTGATTGTTGTTTGACAATTAGAGTAGTGATAACAACAAAAGTTAGTTGTATTATAGAAGTGTTTTTCATTGAACGAAAACGGGAAACAAGAAATGTAACCGTGTATATTTTAAAACTCGAGGTTTCATCTCCAAATGTCAAACTTATAAAATGAGTAGTACAAACATTTATGTTAGTTATTTATTTTATATCTTGAAATAAATTCTCATTTAGTACTATGTTAGGTAAATAAATTAAAAATATTTAACATTTTTGAGTGAATGAGACACTTATTGTGCGTAAATAAATATTTTATCAAAAATTCTCTTTGTTGGTCGATAGAAAGAAGATGATGTTTTGTCAATAGGATCAAATTGCAAAACTTTGCAAGAGTCAGAATTTAAAAAATTTTAACAATAAATTGAAAATTGAAATTAATTTTTGACCTATAGCGTTTTACCCATAAAGGACCTCTTAATTCAGGAAAAAAAAAAACCACATTCTCAAGGCTAAAAAATGGGCAACTGTTATAAAATAGAGATTAAAAAAATGGAGAAGTCAATCAATTTTTATATTTATTGAGAACCAAATATTCATATTTATAGTGAAGAATTAGGGTTGCATATGATACAATGGTAAAAATAAATAGGCACTACAAAAAAAATAGCAATCCAACGACCCACAATATTGGTCGCTAGAAGATATATGTTAGTCGTTGAAGACCTTCACCGATCAAAAGTCGCTGAAAGTCATTAGCAACCAACTCGGGGACCAAATATTGGTTGGTAAAAGTTAACCATCAACAACCAAATGGATTGCATGAACATACTACAAGTTTAGCGACCAACATACTATTGGTCGTTAAACATAGCATTCGGCAACCAATAAATGGTCGGTAAAACGGTTTCAACATTTGGTCGATGTACAGTTTTACATTTCATGGACCAATCTTTGGTTGGTGAAGAATGATACCTTTCATGGACCAATTCGTGGTGGCTGAATGTACATCTTCAAAAATGA